TGGAATCAATTGCACCCATTATGGCTTCTGGAACAGCACTTTCATAGATGTCAGTAGGTCCGCAACAATGTAGCAGTGCTTAAACAAGCTTATTGTCACCTCTTAATTGCTTCCAACCGCAAGTGCACATAAACCTGCACACAGGCTGCAAATTGAGTCTGTTACAGGGCTGATGGTCAATTCTTATTTATTAAGCCTTTAGATTTGATTTGGAGTGTGTGATTCAAGTTGGTTAATATGGTTTAGAAAAAGGGTTTTCAACTTCTTTTACTAAGTGTACCCCCGGCAACCCCCTTTTTAATAAGTGTACTGCAGCAGGGGTGGCGCATGGCTGGATGGTGGCAGGGGTGAGGGGTGGTGAGTAGCCAGACAATGAGCTGGGGGGAAGAGGGTGGTGAGCAGCGGCAGCGCAGCACCTGTGGCCTGTGGAAGGGCGCTGCTGCTCTTGCCCTGCCCTGGCCCTGCTCCTGTGAGGCAGCGGCACTCTGTCCCTGCCCACCCCTGTGTACCCCCTGGGACCTTTCAAAGAACTCCTGGTTTAGAAAATGGTGAGCACATCTACAAATAGCCAGAGTGTCCAAGTTCATCCCCATGTTCATGGTGCAATTCCATTGTTGTGTCTTCTGGAACATACATACCTGCATCCATACACGACTGTTTTATACCATTAGAAATCTTTTTAAAACGAAACACTGCAAAAATGACACGTGATGTCAAGAGGAGGTGTCCTGTTTGTCTTTTAAAGTTCCTTGACTACTTCATTTAACAACTCCCTCTCCCCAGCACATACTTACGTTTTGATCTTCAGTTTTCAACAGATCTGTTAGCAGCTGACTCTCTCATTTTAGGCTCCGTATACTGGCTCATTCAATTAAACCTACTTCTGCAGATACCTTGCATCCAATACATGTTTTAGATAATTTGGAAATGTAATATATTATCTTTTTACTATTAAAACTTAAGCACATTTTCTTTAGTTTGCTTCAAATTGTTTTCATAAAGTCCTGTTTATTCAGCAGCGTATGAATACCCAGTTCAGCATTTTTAAAGACTATTTTTAATTATCCAAACAGAAATATCTATTTAATTTGGACTTGAATTTAGTGTAAAATAGAAACAGGAAAAAAGTGCCTAAAATTTTCTACCTACAATTCCTTTCAAACAACTCTTACGAATATTTTAATCAAATATAACTTGTAGGCTCAAAGAAGATATAAAATCCAGAGGGAAATCACAGAAGAAGCCCTTGGAAAATAGGGATTTGGAATGGAAGGATCAGTTCTACCATAACTATAACACTATACCAACAACACTATGCTTATGTATATATTAAAAACAATATTAACCCAAACTGGTCATTTCTAAGGTGCATTTGGAGTTGCTGTGTGTGAGATGCATCTTTTTTAAGTAAGATTTAGATTGAAATAGGCTGACGATGTGCTAACATGACCAGTACATTGTTTTAATCATCTGAGGACCCAGAGGGCTATATCTTTATGAAAAAAACAGCTGCTTACTTTCAGGGAAGTAATAGTAACCTTTTACACTATCAAAAAAAACTGAGTGGAAAGCACTGCTGGCTGCCTCCATTCAGATTTATTTTTGCCGAAGTGGTACAATTTTATCCGTCTTGAAAGAAAGCAGTTTAAAAGTGATGGGTTTATCTTTTCTTCTTTGTCTCTTGTCAGCTACAACCTGTCTCATCGGTTACTTGGGGAGGTGGGAGAGAATTTTATTGTGCCACTCTCCTGTTTCTGAAATGTAGTCCTCCTGATTCTAGTAAATCATTTTTTCCCCCCTGTTGACTGACCCAGTTTACTGTGCAGTGTGTGGGAGTATGTATTATATTCCCTGATGTCCAGCTGGTAGTATAATACTATGAGAGGAGAATGCATTTTGAGTTCCAACTAATTGTTTAATAGAAACCAACAAGTCGAGATGTCTGTAATTTTATGTCTCTGATTTTTGTAAACATCCTTCTTAATCTAAATAAAAATCTGGTGTGAGGAGAAGTGTTAATCACTGAGTGCTATGCTAATTCATGACATATAGCTTTCTTTCAGTTTCTGTTAAATTCTCTAAAACTTTTTCTCCCTCTATTTCACAGTGGTAGTCGCTCTTCTAAAACATTTAAACCAAAGAAAAACATTCCAGAGGGGTCTCACCAGTATGAGCTACTAAAACATGCAGAAGCCACGCTTGGAAGTGGTAATCTCCGGATGGCCGTCATGCTGCCAGAGGGGGAAGACTTAAATGAATGGGTTGCAGTTAACAGTAAGTTGCTTGATCTTTTCCTGTGGGAGGTGGGCAGCAAATATGGCCTAGTCATGAATAAGGACACCTGCATGTTGGATATTTCTTCATGCACAACCATGTGTTGTACTGCAATTAAAAAAGCAAAAGATGGTATAGTTTAGAGAATTCACAGCAACTAAATGGCTCAAAATAAATAACCCCCTGCTATGTATGTTGAAAATAGAAGTTTTTCCCAAACAGATGACTGCTTTTTGTGGTTATGAACAAATACTTTGGTTTTAAACTTTGTGAGTTCTGAAGGGGAAATGCCAGTGCTGTATTTAGCAAATAGCTGGTAAGGCACCACCTTAGTGTGACTTTAGTCCTTTGGGGTGTTTGTACACATGCTCTGGGAGTAGGGGGTGCTTTTAATTAGAGCGGCTCTGAGAGCTGCTCTAATTAAAGCACCCTGAGCATCTTGTGTATCAGTGTCCCTGTGCTTTAAAATGGCAGCAGGGGCACTTTATCTAAAACTTGTCAAATGAGCTTTAGGTAAAGTGCTCTCACTGCCATTTTGAAGTGCAGGAAGGCTGATGCACGAGATGTGGGAGGTGGCTGGAGCCTAGTAATTGCCATGCTCCAGCAGACTTGATAAATTGAGTCTGCTGCCATGTGCTGGAATTCCAGTATGTTGGAGCAGCCCCCCTGCTCATGTATAGGCACCCTTAGATTCCAGCTAAACCTGTTTTACTCAACAGCATGGTTATATCTTTCTATTATACCCCAGGGGAGTATGTGAAGAAAAATTCAAAATTAGTCGCCGAGTCCCAGGGATGGCAGATCTGGTCATACCAAGCTGGCTCTGAGCCAGCATACATGGTTTGTGGCACTGCAGGCAGAAGCTGTGTGCCGTCAGGCCGGGTGGGCTTAATGCCGCTGGAATGCTTCCAGCATTCCAGTGGGAAGCCACACATGGAGGCACGAAATTATATGCCATCAGACCAGGCTGTCTCCGTGCCTCCACATGTGGCTTCCTGCTGGAATGCTAGGAGCCCCATGTGGAGGCACAGAGCCAGCCAGTGTGGCCTGATGGCATACGGCTCCCACCTGCTGTACCATGAGCCCCACGTACACAGAGCCAGCCTGGCTTGGGTTGAAGGCATGTGCTAGCGGGCCATCCAGGACTCAGTTGGAACTGTGGGCCATCGTGGAGCTCTGCGTGCCATGGCCACGAGCACCCCAAAGGCCTGCTGCCTGCTGCTGCCGCCGCCACCGTTGGCAAAAGGGGCTGTGCACCTTGGGGAAGGGGAGGGGGGGGAAAGGAAGGGGTGCATGTGGTGGGAGGGCCCATGCCCACCCCCCCCCACGTGTGCCCACAGACCCCACACCCACCCCTGCAGGCAGGAGCTGCCCTTCCCACTTACCAGCTGTCTAGTCGTGTGCCACTGTGCTCAGTGCCTCCATATGGCACAGAGCCCACCCAGGTTAAATGATGCAAAATTATGCAATTTTGCATGGTCATATATTTTAAAATTGCATGGGTGCATAATTGCATAATTTCCTGGGGGTGTATTTCTATGGTGAGTTTAAATCTTTGGATGAGTAGTTAGGGCCAAGTCTAAAACAGATGTTAAAATTGCAAGCAGATATGTGGAAAAGCTTTCCTTCTTCCCCTAAAAAATGTGCAGGTGTTTCTTTGCAGCATTTCCAATATTACCCTCTTGTTCCCACTGCTAAGCTGTTAGCCTATGCTTTGGTAACTTTTTCATTTGATTATTCTAACCTCCTCCTTTCTGTTTCTCCTGTTTGTCTGTCTCTTCTGAGCCAGTCTGGGCAAAACAGACACCCAAATATATCAACTGTCTTCTTTGTGCCACCTCTCTTGGTCCCCAGAGCTTTCACACAACAGGCTGCCAGTGGTTGATGACTGAATCTTTCTCCTCCATTGGAAGTTTGGTTTTTTTTTGTTTTTTTTTTTTAATTACTCTTTTTGTCTATTATAATAGTACTGTAAATTCTCCTTGTTCTGAATGCAGAGAAGGGAGTGAGTTCGTCTTGGCTTGAGGGACCCAAACAAAGGAAGATGAGGAACCCAGGAACTGCCCTGCCAACTGTGACCACTGGTCCATGTTGTCTGATGGCACATTTTACAATAAGCTAGAGGAAAATGGGGACTGCCCAAATTAGAGAAGTGTGGAATAAGCTTTCGCCAGAGGATTTTTCTTTTTTATTTATAAGTGTCTGGGCTCTTTCTCTAATGCACTGAAGCGCTTCTAATGAAATTGTGGATGTTCTTGTTATCTGTGTAGATATCTAGCCTCTTTTCTGCATCTTGATATATTTGGTCTTTAGTTGCATAGGTCAATTGCTATTTTATATGGCTTTCACCTTCCAAATTTGCTGAAGATCCCACAAAATACGTTTTTTCATAAAACGCTAGTAAAGGATTGGGGAAGTCCTATGTATAAAGCAATCATGAAAGCTCTCATGGAAACATGGTTTTTGCATTTTCATAGGTAATAAAGATAGCAAACTGGTACAGATATTATGCAAATATGTTGTCAAAAGGCACAGTTATACATCTGGGAATAGAACCCAAGAACCTTGTTTCTGTGTCTTTTGTCTGTACTTTTTGGTGCCTGAAAGTTTGCGTGTTATCTCTCCCAGCTATACATTTCATCCAATAAAAATACCATGTTCTTGTAATGGTGCAGTAGGACCTGGATCATTTGTATTTGAGTGGCTGGCATCCTGCTTGGCTCACAGCAGGTTGCTGAATTAAGGACAAGCTGCTCAATTTGCAGCTTTTCTTTTGTAGGGTGCTGTTTTTCCATTCAGAGTGGTCCCACATTGCTGGTAAGAGAAGCAGGACCTTTTGAAATTAAAAGCCACAGCAAACACCTGAAGCAGCTCAGCAGTCCTGCTCAGTTGTCTGTTGTGGCCCTGTGTTCCCCCAGATGTTTTGCAGGGAGATTAAGAATTTAACACTTTGAAATATCCAGGTTCTACTGTACAATACAGCAATTTGTTTCACTTGTATCTTTAACCCTGAATGAAAGGGAGTTAATGTGACAATGTTTTACTGTATTTGAACATGCAGATATAAGAGCTATGTCATAATGGCTTTTGCCGGTGTCATTTGATACCAGTATAATTGTTACATTTGTCCATGCTCTTACTTTAATTGGCAGGCAATGCACATCTTCAACTGGAGAAATTACTTGTTTTTTAAAAACCTACGGGCTTCAAAGCTGTCACCAAAAAGGGGAAGTGACGGTGCCAAAAGAAGAAATGGGAAAACATTTTGTTTACTTGTCACACATTGGTAGTTTTGGAGGTTGGCAATTTGTTTCGTGGCCTCTTCATACTCAGAATGTGGGCCCAAGCAATGACAGTTATCTTCACAAAGCTCACGTGGTTTCAGATGCACCTGCTTTTAAACATACATTGCTGTTTGTGGCTTTTTGGGAGTGGGGTTGGAAAACTTCAGAGCTCTCAAAACTAGAAAGCTCAAAAATAGCTGTAAGCTACAAGAGCTGCACAGGCGTTTTGATGTTAAAAGATGCTTTGTTTCCCCAGCAAGTCTTCCCTTTCTGGGACTGCTTTTCCTCAGCATGTCTCACCAGTTGCTATTGTTGTGTTTCGGGAGCCTGCCTATTGTGAAACATAATATGCACCTAAACATGTGATCCATCAGGGTTTTTATTTATTTATTTATTTATTTAGTTAGTTAGTTATTTTTGAGTTGCTTCCTTTTTTGGTGCTTGTTAGTTACACAGCAGCAGTTTGCAGCCAAAATAGTGCATCTGCTGAAAAATAGGATGCATTAAAAATAAGTAGCAAGGGTTTGTAGGTCATTAAGTTGCCATGTTGTTTATGGAGCCTAAAGGATCTCTTCTTCCTCTTTTGTCAACCCCCTCCTCCCAAACTTCCATCACTCTGCAAGGCAGTATTTTAGCAATCCTTAAATTCTGGGTATGCCAACACCTTTTCTATTGGACAGCTGCTCAGAAGGAACAACCTTTAGAATAAATGAAGACTGAGCTGTGGAGGGGGTTTGTACTGCCTTGTCTCAGCCTCAGTCTTTTATCGTTTGTGTCATGATGCTGGACCTGGGAACCTTAATATTACATGTGAGCTTAACAGTATCCTGCTGATAGGACTTTTAGGAATGTAGCATTTTATAACTGACAACTCTAAAAATGTTGTCTTTATAACTAGGGCTGGTAGTACAAACATGGCTATCTGAATGTTTCAGAGATTAATTAGGAGAATATTCAGCCACTTGCACATCCAGAGTGAAGAGCCTGGTTCGCATTTGAATTTTCATTCAGATAGCACATGGCACTAAAGGGCGTCATTTGTCTGTCCCCCGCAGTGAATAAAGGCAATAGTTGAATATATGTGTTCTATTTCCACAGGAAAATGGTTAATGACCATGGCATTGAATCAGAGACAGCACCCAATTAAGATAGACATGGAAGGTCTTAAGTCTCTCATCCCTGTTGTTGAGTCTGCAAACAGACTGAAATGAGACAAACTGTGCATCTGTTTATTTGTCAAGGCTTGCTGGGCAGCCAGGAGAGCTAGAAACTTCTGTTCAGCACTGCAAAGCAATTCTAGGTTCAGGAAACTACAGCAAGACCTTGAAGATTACTTTTGAAAGACGGTTTCTATCACAGAAACTGTCGTAACAGGTGGCACTACTGGCACCCTGGCTGGTCTCATAGTTTCATAGTAGCTAGGGTCAGGAGAGACCTGAACAGATCATCTAGCCTG